ACAATAGGCTGGAAAAAGACTGACTGTGTTCAGTCTGTTCGCTCAGCCTGTCATCTCTTTCCTTATATCGCTCTTGTTTTATTCCTGATGTACCGATCCACCAGGCCCGTAATAGAAGGAGAAAAGTTATTTATAGCTAAGCTTATCTTTATCTTCCCATCACAGCCTCAGCTAGCCTTGCTGCAGAACCTGCTGAACCCACTACTCCTGCAGAGTCCTCCAAACATTTTCGCTTTGTGCCACTGTGGAGCTCTAAGTGCTGCTCTTGTTCTCTTCACATGACCCTGGTGTCTTCCTTTGTGTTTCCTCACTGACTCTCTGGGTTTCTCTTTTTCTCTCTCTGTTTCCGTTCCCTCCCTCGCGCGTCTTGATTGAAAGGGTATGCATGGTTGGCACTGAAAGAAAGAAGGAAATAGATAATGATACCAGACTGTATTGTGTGGAAAACCCTGACCTTCGCGTACCCAAAAACTGTCTCACACACACACACACACACACACACACACACACACACACACATAAAACACACTCTTCCTGTCCTTCTCAACTTCAGATGTGTATTTTATGTAAACACATAAAGGAAAACATGTGCACCCTCTTACAGGTTTATCTTAATAAACTTGTTCATATACGCATGCTTGCTACGCAAAGATCAATTTATGATCCTCATGACGCGTTTCAAAGGAATGGATTCACAGTCACACGCTCACACTCTCTTGAGTCTGTTTGAGCATTTTAAATCTTCTGCCACTTCGATGTGTCATCTGAAAAGCAATTTATTAGAAACATGAGAAGTAAAGCCAAATATTGCTCTCTCTGATGTTGTGTGTCTGGCTTTGTACTGGGCTGCACGTGTGTGCGTGTTAATTTATGTATTATACATATCTGTGTAAACAAGACTTTTAGCGTAATGGGATCTCTGCTTAATAGCTTAAACCATGTTTCGCTTTGTTTGTTTTGGTCTCTCTTTTGTTCTACTGTTCGGTTTTGTCATGTTGTGACTTTGACTCAGACTTTTACGCTTTTCTTTTTTGGTACATACTGTATTTTATGTTATGTCAGCATTTTTTGCAGCACTGTGCGTGTGAGTGTGTGAAAGATACCTGAATGGAAGTTTACATTTTCAATGTTTCTCTGCATATCATCTCTTCAGTGTATCTTAATGGAGATTTCAATCATCCTTGGTTCCACAAAAGTCTTATTCATTTGTCCTAAAGGTTTCCCAAGATTCCCATGCAAATATAGTGCAAATAAATGAGCAAAGACGATGTGAATAAATGCACGTTTCCATGCATTGTTGTTATGCCTTTAAGTATTGTAAATTAAATATTAAATCAGTCATGTTGCTGATTCTTTTTCATGGAGAGAGAGTAGAATTAAGAAGGGACAAAAAGGGACTTTTGCCTCGAAATATTCAGCTACTGCAGATTTTGTTACACTTACAATTTTGTCCAAGAAATAAAATGTAATTTTATCCCCAATCAATCCCATCAAAGACACTTGAGTTTCAAGGTTGTTGTTTTACATTTGAATATGATTAAATCATAACCACATCTAACAAGACATAAGCATGTTAGTGTTTGGTATAAAAAGCACCAACATGCAGGTAAGATGCATCACTTTGCAGGAGTATAATAGTCCATAGTGGTTAATAATTAATGGTTTAGTAAATTGGCAAATCCCAATCATCTCATAAGATTTGTCTTTAGGTTACATAAACCTTGCAATAAATTAATCCATAAATAATGGCATCTGAGATCTAACCAGAGGAACTTTTTTATTGTAATAATGAAATCGCTAATGTGTTTTCACAAACATTTTACAAACATAAATGCATTTCCCCAAAATCAGTGCATAAAAAAAACAACAACCAGAATACAGGAAATAATGACGATTACAAATCACTGTGCTTAGGAGTGTAAATGTTTAAGCTGTAGTTGCCTGCTCTGCTGTCTTATTCTTCTGATCTTATAATCTATGTTTGATGCCTTCGTTGTTTTTGTCATCTATTCGTTTTAGTTGTACTCTGGACATCAGTGTAAATGAGGGCTTGCCCTCAATGATTTCTTGGGAATAAATAAAGGTTGATTAAATGACACTGAACTTTTCCTGGGTGACAGACCCCAATCTAGTGTTGAATCAAAACCTCCACCCCTGTAGACAGATGTCTTTGACCTACAAAGATAAGAAATGAGAGCTCAAAGCGCTTCAATCAAATCTTAACTGTTCAATTTAATTTAATTTAAAAAAAAGTTATAAAATTGTTTATTCATTTCATTTGATTATAGGAATGTCACAATCTCCTCAAACACTCGGGGCGGCCTTATTTTCTTTTCATATTTAGGTATTCAATTATTTTTGATTCTTAAATCTTTTTATTCATTCACTCAAGGCCGTAAAGTTCTGCTGAGTGAGTAGAGGGCGTAAAGGAAACAGAAACATGAACATCTTTTTCTTAAAGCTCAGACCTTGAGCTGAAAGCTTTTTGTAGATATTATAAATTGATGAAGAATTTCACAATTGTTCATACAAAATAATTTAATTTGTGCAAAATCATCCGTGAGCTTTTTGTAATACTACTTTTATTTTAAGGGTGAAAAGTTCATGGAAATGAATTTTCCTCCCAAATTAATATCTCATGCAATTTCCGTTGCCAATTAAGTTTTCTTAACCAGCATTGACGCTAAAATTTCATTTGTTGCTTTAACTGCTGACTTTAACGGAACAAAAGAAGAACAGACAATTGAGTGTTTTATTGCATTTTGCCAATAAAGTGTTTAAAAGCTTTTTTTGTTAGGGTGAAATGTTCTTTTTACCTGGAGGGCAAAAAAAAAAAACCTGTCGATATTCTCAGCGATCAGACTGAGAGACACACAACTCTACAGTGACTCAAGCAAACTGTTGTTAAGTTGATGAAGGCTCTTTGACGCTCTCATGGCGGTCTTGTTTTATTCAGTTGCACTCATGGCGTTTCGATTTTCTATACCTGCATATACAGTCTTCTCCATTTTCATGCTTAAGTATAGATCATGCTAAAAGATCTGGAGGTTTGATAAAATATTAAATATAGACCAGTGGGGTTATATTGACTTGAGTGGAAGAGCTTGAACAGACCTTTCTTTAAAAATAAACATCAAGAATAACTGCATGAACAGTTGAGCTGGACCTTAATACAGCAGTCGATAACTAGATATGTGTGAATTATTAACATTTCAGGTTACATTTTATATCAGTAACTACTCAGTAAAGTGTGTGGTAGAAAAAGAAGCCAACACACAAACTGTGTTTCACAGTAAAGATTCTTTAACAGATATCCAGTATCAGATTTATACGTGGTTTGGTTGTCAGGAGCCATCATTCCCACCTGCACATACCCTCTATATACATTTTCCTCGTGGATCCCATTGAAAACAAATTGTGGCATTATTCATACAGGAGAGAGGGAAAAGAAAAATGGCTTGTTCAGACATTCAGTGAGAGAGAAGGGCAAACCGAGGCAGAGAGATGTGAGATGGAGAAGGGAGCCGAGGAAGACGGAAGGTCGAGTGGAAAAGCAAAGAGCATAAGAGATTAAAGAAGAGGCAAAACAGAGAGCCTGGAATAGACACAAACACATTCAAAGATCTGTAGGGATAAGGAGACAGTGTGTATTAGAAAGACAGATGGCTTCTTGACAAAACAACACAGAGGAACAGCATGCAAGAGGCTTCTAGTCAGTTCATATGTTGCCTTGAAGCTGCAGCATGAATTTTATTTTTTCTTGCTCATTAACCAAGTTATCATATGACTAACAAAGGCCTGAGTGGTTTCCCCGCAGGCAGCAGATGAAAGCTACTTTGGCACAGTGAGGCAATGAGGAAGGCTCTGGTTGAAACATCAAAATAAAAGCTGATAAAGTTCATGTTTATGTAGATTTAAGTCTATTAATGTTCTCACAGCTCCAGACTATCACTTTGATCCTACTGAGCTTTGACATATGCAGTGAAAAGAAGCATAAATTGCAAAAAAAAAATGACATTGTCTCACATCAGTGGGTGTCGAATAATGACAGTTTGTGTCTGATGTTTTTAGGACTTGAGATAAAACATTTAAAATGTCCTCACTGATACAGTGGAGTCTGTAGAGGTTCCATTTAACTCAATTGTTAATAATTGGTATCGAAAAAAACCCTGCATTGATACGACTCGAACTTTATACTTTGAAAGATGACAAGGCATAAAGCACTTTAGCTTGGCTTTCACAGGTAGAGAAAATATCATTCACAGAAATCATTAAAGGTTAAAAGAGTGATTTTGGCTTTAAGGTGAAAATGTGTGAACGTGTTTTGCCTCCTCATCTCTTTTGCTTCACCTATTTTGGCTGTGCAAACTTTTACTTTAAGTTGATTGTTGAGTTTCCACACATTAAACTACCAGCAGCGATAGCCGACTCAACAGAAAACCCAAATCTAAAACTGTATCAGAGACAGTTGTAGTTCAGGTGAATGTCTGTTTCTGTTGGGGAGAGAGAGAATGAACCAGTCAGTTCAAGACAACAAGTTGAGGTTGCTTCCGAAGAGTTAGCGAGACAATCAGTCAGTGTATGCTGAGACATTATGGTACAGCTAAAACCTGACTGTAATTAGCAGTTCAAATCAATGCAGCAAGACTCTCTCATATTACCACCACAAAGGATTGCAACTGAAAATGTGAAGCTGTTGATGAATACCTGGAGCATACACACAGTCACACATGATCACAGTCTGCAGCATTGTGTCGACTGCTTTTTAAGCTAGTGTTATATCTGTTACCCCTCACTATAAACCGAAGGTGAGGCGGCTGTCTCCTCACTGTAACTGGTAATCTTGTGGTCCTTCAACTGCTCTGAACGGCAGAGGAGACATAAGCCCATCAGTGTGAGGCTTAGGTTCAAATAAACTGAGCAAATGGTTAAAAACCATGTTGTGATTTAGTCATGTATGATGCAAACTGATTTGTGTGTTGCATGCTTTGTCTCCACAGGTTCATCCTGGTGTTTGGATGTCTGGTTCTCTCTGTGTATTCCACCATCCCAGCTCACCAGGAGTTCTCCTCTCACTGCCTGCTCATCCTGGTAACACACATTCATATGCACGAGTTAATGTATTTGATTAGCAAGCACCAGGGAGAGCTTACTGACTGAGTGCATCTCATTCTACTCTGATGAATTAGGAATGTCACATGGTTAAATTAACATTATTGAGCGTGTGTGTGTGTGTAGTTGTGTGTGTGTGTGAGTCTGTGGGATGCTCATGCCTGCATTACAAACCCTGATTGTGCATTCTCAGCACCTTAATGAACTTTAATAATCGGTCCCTTGAGACACACGATCAAAGTCACGCTGTTAAAATGTAATTTAAGTGAAGCGCCTGTGCCTCAGATGTAATTAAGCAGAAAGCCATCAGTCAGAGCAGGTGTACTGTACAGCACTAATAAACTGGATTTGAAGGTTTCAGCATGTGTGCTTATGTGTTTTTGTCTTTGGTGTATCTTTGTGTGTGTGTGTTTGTGTGCACGTGTCTCTTTCAGGAGTTTGTGATGATCGTTGTGTTTGGTCTGGAGTACATCATCAGGATATGGAGCGCTGGCTGCTGCTGCCGCTACCGAGGCTGGCAGGGACGCCTCCGCTTTGCCAGGAAGCCGTTCTGTGTCATAGGTATGTCTCCGTGTGTTAGACAAGTACAGAAAAAAAGTCTCACAAAGACCGGCACACATTACCATACTACAGTAAGAGTTTTACTCATTGTAATCAGCTGTCTTGGCCAAAATATATATTGTATTTTTAAAGGGATCTCTATCATAGAAAACATTCTTTCCAAAGACTCTAACCTGAGTGAAGTGCTGTTCTGCATCTTCAAACATTTAAAGACATGATCATCAGGTTGTATTTATTTCTTTGGAAGTGCACTGATCTTAAAATGTCCCTCCAGTCTCTGCTTAATGTACAGTATCTGGTATCAAAAGACATCCTTCTGGAGAAAAGTAGTTCTCCAGACAGCCTGCTGGGAAATAAGAGATGAACAAGTGTGGTAGTTAAAGATTGTAGACAGAGTGACGGAAGAAGAGTAATAGAGATAGAAACAGAAACAAACGGCTTGCAGTGAATCAATAGTTGTTGTAAAGGTGATGGATGAGTGCGTGGATATGTTAAGAAAGTGGGTGAGTCAAACCCAGCTCCTGTTTTCTTTTTTTTTTCTTTTTTATTGTGGAACCTGTGACCTTTAATTTCCTCTCTTCTACTCCCCAGACATCATTGTGCTCATCGCCTCGGTTGCTGTGGTTTCAGCCGGTAGTCAGGGTAACATCTTCGCCACGTCTGCGCTGCGTAGCCTTCGTTTCCTTCAGATCCTGCGTATGGTGCGTATGGACCGCAGGGGAGGGACCTGGAAGCTGCTGGGATCTGTAGTTTATGCACACAGTAAGGTAGGACAATTTTGAACTGTGTCTCAAGATTCAAGATTAACTTTATTGTCTCACAAAGTGAAACATTTATCTTGGGCTCTTCACCCATGCTGCAGCCATAAAAAAGACAACAATCAACATCATCATTCACATCGAACACACAACGATAAACATTGCATAACAAGATGAACATTAATTAAGTATCTAAATACATAAATACATCGGGTTCTTCTTAAAATACCAGTGCAAACACGCAAAGACAATACCAGTATAATCAGTCTTATTTGCTAATATTTAACAGTTTTATAGAAACAGGGATAAATGAATTTTTAAACCTGTTCAGTCTACAACGGGGAACTCTGAAACTCTTACCGGAGGGCAGCAGCGCGTACTCTGGACATAGGAGGAGTCACTGACAACATAGGAGGAGTCACTGACAATCTTATTAGCTTATTAGCTTAGAGTAGCCAGTTAAAAAAACCGTCTGCAGGGATGTGTGGTGTTTACCTCCTATAATTTTCCATGCAGTCTGAATCAATCGGATCAGTTCTCATTATTACAACCTTCGACCTTCAATGGTTTGGCTATAAACTGAAACGATGTCAGTGGCATTGTGTTATTTCACTTCGATCGCCAATCAGCTGACAATGAAGCACAGAAACATTTCCATGATGTGGGAAAAATGATGTTTTATTAGATCTTATCTTATATTACTCAAAATGTCTGTTCTATCCTAATATAACTCCTATCATGTTGATGTTGTACCTGTTTATATAGATAATGTATTTTGCATGGAGATGCTTCACCTGCAGCTATCATCTGTTTCAACTCTAATCCTGATTGTGCCCGTGTGTCTTGTAGGAGCTGGTGACGGCCTGGTACATCGGGTTCCTGGTGCTAATCTTCTCCTCCTTTCTGGTCTATCTGGTGGAGAAAGAATTCAACAAGGAGTTTGCCACCTATGCTGACGCTCTGTGGTGGGGCACGGTAAGCACACATGCCATAACACAGTGTGTAAGTCATAAGGAGAAGGATATAGAAGTGCCCTATTTAATATAGCCCTTTTGCTTCCCATAATTCTTGGCAAAATCACAGAAAGTCAGAAAACTTTTAAGTCATCCTGGTTTTATTGAACAGCAGTGATATATATCCATTTGCCGGGCTGGGTGACCTTAATGACAAGAGCAATACGAAAACCAACAGCACTGGCCTTAAAAGTCACACTTGGCTGGCTGTACTGCACTGTTTCCTCCTCCATCTAAAACCCATTACACCAGGAGAGTGTGGAGAACAGACAACACGGCCTCAAGAAATGGTCAGATCAATAGATTCATTTTCTCCTGCTGCCAGGTGAGACCGACCTGTTTTGGCTTTCTTGGAAAGGACACTCAGACGCTCTCTGTTCCCACATGGAAGAATCTGTCTTTCTGCTCTTCACTAAAAGCTGTTAAATAATTTGAGTGCAAAGGTTCAGTTACGTTACGTAAACTTTAAAGATGTATGAGTCAACACAAAAACTGCAGGTGTTGAACACAAACCGAAATATCACCAGCCCTACAGCCTACTAATGCATTGTGGTCATGAATTTATTAAGGTCACTAAGCTAGTTACCCAGTTTTGCTTGCGTAAAATCTGTAAAATCTGTAAAGTAATATAAAACACTTAAAGCATTTCAAGTCTTAATATATATTTATGTAAATAACTACTAACAATGTTATGCTATGCTATGTTACTAACTAAGAGGCTAACTATGACTTATTTCTTCTGCTCTTAAGGGTCAGTTTGTTGGACAGCTACTGTAATTTAGCCCCTTAAATTCATGCACTGCACTCCTAACAATGTCCTTAAAGTTTGGGAGTGGGCTACATGCTTCACACCCTTTTCTGCTTGCTAGTATGTTCTTTTCCACTCTTTTGTTGACACTGTGAATACCCCAATCCTCCCTCCCCACCCTAGAAATTTTCAGTAGTGCATGCGTGAAACAGGTTTTTCACAATGTCATAATATAAGATTATTAACCAGCTTGTGGAACATACTTGAAAGAAAACCCCTTTTTTTTTTATTTGACTGCATCACTATGTAGTGACTAGAAGTGTAATTTGACCCAAATACTCCTGTCCGCGTCTACTAGTGCCTATACAGAGTAGCGGTGCATTCATATTGTCCACCTTCTATGAGGGTTCTGAACCCTAGTTTTGTAAAAACATGATGTAAAATGTATAGTTATGAGATTCTATAGCTGTCAGTGATCATGCAGAATAAAATGATCGACGTTGGTACATACAAACCATAATTTCCTACACTATCCTGATTGGCAGATTTGACCTCTGACCCCACAGATAACTCTCACCACCATTGGCTATGGGGATAAAACTCCACAGACGTGGACTGGGAGATTATTATCGGCTGGTTTTGCTCTGCTGGGGATCTCCTTCTTCGCACTACCAGCTGTGAGTCACACACGGACACGCATTATTTTACAAAATAATTTAATCACAGCTCCATTCAGCCAAAGCTAACAGGAAAAGCAACGGTGTTGTGATGCAGCAAGTTAAAACCTCAAGAGTTTGTTTTTCTGCCTGTAGGGCATCCTTGGGTCAGGTTTTGCCCTGAAGGTGCAGGAGCAGCATCGACAGAAGCACTTTGAAAAGAGGAGGAATCCAGCTGCCAGCCTCATCCAGGTACACACACACACACACACACACACACACACACACACACACACACACACACACACCTCACACAAACACACACACTTCTCTTCTATTTATTTTTACAGCAGCAGCAACAACAGATGACCAGTGTGAATGCATAAAACATCCTTTCCTTTTGCTTGTTTCGACCGCATATAAGACTGTCACTGTCTGTTTCAGTCTGAATAAAAGCGTGTGTGTGTGTGTGTGCGTGTGTGTGCGTGTGTGTGCGTGGTGTGTGCGCTAGCGTGTGTGTGTGTGTGCTCCTTACCCTTTGATCAGTGTGTTTGTAACATATTTTGGTGTGTATGCCTGATTTAATCATCTCCCCTCCTATGCAAGTGAAGGTGTTTCATTAAGTATTTAATATGAGTGTGTGTGTGTTTTGCCCTTCTCTGGGCTGTCAGGGTGTGTTGCTGATGATGACTTACTGTGTGTGTATGAGGCCGGCTGTCGTCTCTTCGCTTTAACAGCGACACACACACACACACAGACATACTGCTGGGGATTTGTGAACCGTTTCTATGGTGACCGTCCCCTGGGCAGACACTCCTCCAAACCGTCACTCATTGTAATAGACAAGGCCAGCTGCATTACTTTCTAATGACCCATACATATCTGCCGGAGAGTTTTTGTTTGTGTGTATACCCACAGGTGGGCAATTGGTTGTGTGCGTGTGTGTTTCCTAAATTATTGCATTCATGCACCTATTTGTTTCTCATAAGAGTGTCTGGTTTTATTTTGTGTGTATGCGTTCTGTTGTCTACTTTTCTCTATCTTTACAAACATCTTGAAAATCAACCACAAAACAAAACAGCTGCTATGGTGCTATTTTTGGTACTTAAGGATAGTCAGGATCTCTAAAATCTGAGCCTTGTGCTCACTATGATAATACACTGCTAATTTACTTACATGCAACTGGCTCATAATGCTAAGATCATCTGACATGTGCCTTCTGGAAGTCCGTCCCTCAAGTCTTAAACTTAAAGGAGACTGTGCTTTAGTTGTCAAGGCCCTTAAGTGGAACAACATCCACCCCCCTCTCCATCAGGTCTGCCCCCACTTTTAAGTCCCGCCTCAAAACATACTTTTATATGTTGCCATTGGAGTCCTCTTGTCCCGCTTGTCTCCTGTATTAATATCTGTTTTCTGTGTTGTTTGTCTGCTACATATTGATCTACTTATAATAAATTTCATCTAAACATGATTTTTTTTTTATACATATTAGTTTTAGCGGATGACGCTAGATACCTGACAAAAACCCATTATCAACCAATTGATCCTGAATAACCCAGACATGGGGCTGTTAATTCCACATGTGTTGATCTTGTTTTCCTTTATTGGCTTTGTGAGAAACACCTGGTCTCTGTCTGTTGTCTGCCAAACCCAAAACATTTTCCTCAACAGGTGAAAGGAAACTTGGAAGCAGATTTGCTGTGTTAAATATATGGATGTCATTACTGTCTGTTCACTTCACTCCCCCATCTCACACAGCACTCCCCTGCTTTCAACCACTGCTTGTGTGTGCGTGCGTGTGCGTGTGTTGTATGTGTGTGTTTTGTGTCTCTGTCAGCATGCAGGGCAGGAAATTACCGCTGTCTTCAAGCCTCAGCAGCTGGTCAATGCTTAATTTCACCTGCTGCAATAACTTTCTCTCCTACCAACTGTATTTTTAGGACTAGATTGAATTTCCAAATGACTATAAAGTGGTCCCAAGAGCAGCATAGCTACCTACAGCCAACTTTGACCAGCATTTGGCTGATGGCCGGTGTTAATTTTCCATCCTTTCTGTGTAGAAAGTGTTTATGTGGAGGCTTTCCAGTGGTGTCACAAATCTTGTAACAGCACCTGGCGCCATAGAGGAGGTTCAGTCAGCTCCAAGTGAATTCTGTTTTAGTATCCAAAATATAATAAAGGAAAAATGAAGTAAAATACTGCAAAAATGATTATTGTGCCATTAGCTGTTTCTTTTGGAACAACTGGTACAACACAAAGTTGCTTCCTATTGCATTCTAGTCCAATAATGGAAGGAGGCCTTTAAACATAAAATCCAAATCAGATGTTAGTCACTGCATTGTAGGCTTTTTCCTCATCTGACCATATTATCTGCAGGATTCCATCTTTATCAAAACCTTCCCAAGCTACCTCTCTTTTTTGACTTGAAACCTCCACAGCTAATGTTGGTCTGCTAAAGGCACTGCTAATTGTTAATGCTAATTTTGAAGAGATTATTGTCATAGTGAAGAAAAAAAAAAATAATAATAATAATGCTGACTGTGGATACAATGTCAGATTTCTAAAGGTGGTCTCTCATGACCAATTCACAGCCCCTTCCCAATCTGTTATGTCACATAAACAAAGCTGATTGTTAGCCTTGTTCAGAACCTCCAATATGGCCACCTGCTGGTTACATGACATGCCCTGTGAATGTGTCATGTTTACATATACTTCATTACCTTTTTCCTTATCATATTTGTGTCATTGCCCTTCTGTGTCCTATATGTGTGTGTGTGTGCGTGTGTGTGTGTGCGTGTGTGTGTTTAAATGTGGATGTGTGTGTCCTGTCCATCTCTGCTCCCTCCCCCCCCCACCCCAGGCAGCTTGGCGTCTGTACTCCACTGAAGGTGCTCGTCCGTACCTCAGAGCCACCTGGCACCACTACCAAAGTGCCCTCTCCCCCCTCAGGCATGTATACCCACCACCTTCACCTCCACCACCACCTCCACCTTCATCCCCACCTCCCTCAGACCACAATGCATCCACGTTACCCCCCCCCAAAAAAACTAATCAGCGGTTTCTTTTTTCCCCTTCTCACTTTCCTTCTCTCACTTCCTACTCTTAACCTGTACGTTCCTCCCTCACCCCCTTTCTTTTTCCTCCCACACTATACCTCTTTAATTGTTTCATTTACCATTATTTTATTTATCCCTGTCAACTCTGCACGTAGTGTGTCTGGCGTAGTTATACTGCTGATGAGAACTCGGTTTCCATTGCTACCTGGAAGCCTCATTTGAAGGCGTTGCATACCTGCAGCCCCGCAAAGTAGGTAACAACTTACTGACTTGGAAACATGGCGGCTGCTGCGTCTCCTCATTCCTGCTTGTCTTCATCCGTCTAACTGTAACACTTCCTTTCCCTGTTGAATCCCTCATTGCTAATGCACCATTGTAACAGCTAGCTAAAAACGTGGATTAACCCTTTCTTTCAGGGATGGTTTGCCTGGCTTGCATGACCTTTAACACCTTTACAGACATGGACAAGCTAAATGACTGGCTAAAGGTACATAGGGAGTAACTCAGGTATCATGATCGATTTTTTGAAGGTGATTTCTAAATGTAATAACATTTTTGAAATTGCACACATGCTGGTTAGTTTCTTTTTATTAATAACATATACACTGACTTAAAGTCTCAAAGTAAAATGACATAGCACATTTGGATTATCTTGACAATGCTATACATGTTGCTCTAGAAAATCCACATGTGGGTACCACCACTCGTACTTTAATACACTTCACACACACACACATATCAATGCACATTAGATCTTTACCTTACTGATCTCCATTCCTTTCATTCTGCTTCATGCTAAACCTTTACATTGCATGACCATGGCTTGCATGTGCTTGAAAAACGATGAATTCTTTTTTTTTTGTAGTTTCCCTCTGATGCCGTCCATACCCATTAGAGGAATCATCTATAAATGCTATTTCTCTGCTGGAAGAAATCATCTGCCAGCATACTGATTTCTCTCCCTTTGTCTCATCTTTATCCCACTAACACTTGAAGGAAAGAACAGGGAGAGACTACTTACAGGTTTGTACGACACTAAAAACACAAACACACAATGTACCCTGCCCTGATGATAAAAAAAAATGTGAATCTTTTGCCATCTGCTCTTGTGTACTTTAAACATAGATTGAAAAGTTTAATAACACATGTATTTTTTTTATTTTTGTGTTTGTTCATTTATTTATGTAGTTGTTGACATTTCTGAATCAATTGATATGCAAATTGATATCAAAGGGTTGAAGACTGGGTCAGATGGTAAATTGGGATTAATTGATTGACTTAACCAGAGAATGACTGAACCTTTAAAATACATTTTAAGGTTAATCGTTGGAGGTATTTGATTGAGAAATTTCCAGAAGTTGTGGCATTGTTTAGACTTTTATTGATCAAAAGTATGGGAGAAAGGGGCCTCGGATCCAAATACGGCCTCGGCCCTTTGCTTCATGTCTTCAAAAAAGTAATAAGTGAAGGTGAAAGAAAAAGAGAATGTTTGAAATATTGACGCTGAGAGAAGGTTTACTGCAGTGCTTTGACATTCAAAGTAAAGGGATAATTAGCATGTGCAATAACAAGGTTGATTTATCCTAATGAAAGGAAATGAGAGATGTCAGCTACTGCTTGTTCCAGTCACTCTACTGGTAAACATGTTTATCTAATATATTCAGACTCAAGGTGTCTCAAGGTAGTCATTTTTGTTTTGTTGCCATGGAAAGGAAATAAGAAATAAAACAGTTACCTTCAAATGACTTCGTCTGAAGGCAAACATGTTTTCCTCTTCTTTTCTTATTTTATATTTCTGCCTCACTTTTGCAACTTTTTCTTTATTCCAACTGCCTTTTCTGACCTCTCCTTTAACTACTTTCTCTGCACTTGACGCTGATGCTGGGAAGGCTGATGGGCTTCTTTTTCTTTGTTTAGTGTGTGTGTGGGGGTGTGTGTGCATACACGCCTTCAAAGACAGGAGTCTGTACCATGTCTGTACCATGACGCACTTTTTCCATTGGGATGGTATTTATATAACTCATCAAACACAAGTCTAGGGGAGACAGAGCAAAGTTGAAAAGGGGGGAGGACTGAGCGGGGGAGGGAAGGGGAGGAAAGATAGGGGGAAGAAGACAGAGAGAGATTTGTGAGTTTAATTATGCTAGTATAGTTTTTACAGTTCGGAACGTCTTTGGAAACATTCAGGGGCCATATATTGAGGCAGCAGCTTCTTAGACACAGACACACACACAACAACAAGGAAAAGTTTATACACTGAGTCAGGCACACTAACAAAAGTGCCTCTCATCCTTAAATGAACAGCATTTTATCAGGCTATGTTGCATCCACAACAACACACATCCCCGAAGAATTCTTTTTCTCTTTTTAAAGGCTTGTGTTTCATTGCGCTTTCCTTTCTTAGAAACAATTGTTGTAAAAGTCCAATTTACACTTGTGAAATCATAATTATGTACACTTTAATGACACTGCTCCGTGTGTTTTTAGTGGTTTCACAGACTGTCGGCTGCGTGGCGGCGGTAGGTGCAATGGTAAACAGCTGGTGGTTTTCATTTAAGCAGACTTGTAAACACCAGCAGTTGTAAAACATTAGGCGCACCACAAAAGTGCTCCAGCGGACAACATGCTGAGTGTAAGTGTGCTGGATGTTGGCAGTAAGAGGCAACATGAAATAAAGGATAATAGGAGCTTTAATTGGATTTTATATGTGTAGGCAGGTTTTTGCCTGTGTTTCTATGAGTGTTTTTGTATATCCTGGTTAAGCCAAATTCAATTGATATGGGAAAAAAAGGGAAAAGACATCACTAAAATAAGTTTATTCTAACAACTTTTAACCTGAATATTTGCTATAATCATTAATTGTGTGTTCGAACCTTCAATTCTTCCTTATTGGAAAATCAATAGTCTATTTAAAGGAACACCCCAAATCTAATTTCAACAATACTGTAGATCACATGAAATGTGCAAACAGCATGCTTTTTCTGTTTTTCAATAGATCACTGTTGCCACAATGTTAAAGAGACACACAAGAAAGGATGATATTATTTTTGGTGCTTTGTTGGTTTTATTTGAAGCTTTAGTATGTGATTTCAACAACCAAACCATATGCAAAAGAATGTAAGCAGAAAAATGAAGTTTATGGTTGAAGCATCTGGTGAGATTTTGATCAAATATGTTGTGAAAACTGAGTTCAGGTGTGTTTACCTTCCATCCAGCCCTCTTCACTCATTCACCTCCTCTGGTATATGTCCACTGTCCACTCTGTGTGTTTGCTCTACGTCAATATTGACAGCAGAGAAATTTCTCTTCTCCTTCCTCTTTAATCTCATTCCTTCTTTGTGTCTTCATTCCCTCCTCCATCCGTCTCTCCCTCCTTTGCCCTAGTAAGGGTCTAAGAAATGGGAGGTTCTTCAGAAGGTATACTCGGAAATATAGGAGGTACCTGCTGTATTGCATCCTCTCTGCCCTGACCTGCCTTTAGCCCCAAAAAACCTGTGCGAATGACTGACTAACAGCATGGAGGAGAGCAAAGAGAACCACTTTCTTCGTATCCTCTTCCCTCTTTAATATCAAAACAGATTGTTTGCCTGTTGCCTGTCAAATGCAAGCCAAACGTTATGTTACATAAGTAACATACGGAAGTTACTCTGATTTTTGAAATTGCGATCCTTTAAATACTTTAATTCCTTTAAGTTGTGCAAATGAAAATGTTCCCCTGACAATTATCCAAAAAGGAACATACAGAATTCATGGAGCTGGACCCAATATACCATAAATTATCACAGCATATCACAGCAGACAGGATCAAGGATTAACTGTTCCTTGTTTTACTGCATGCTGCATTTTAGCCATCAGAGTTCATGTATCTGTATTTTTTAAGATCAATTAAGCTCTGTGTTGTGTCCTGGATTTTAGACAGAACTTCATGTTTTTTAAGTATAAGCAGGAAGATAAAAGGGTACATGAGTATGAGGGGGGGGGGGGGGGTTAACACGTTTTTACAATAGTTTTAACAACTGTGAGATTGTGAGTATGTATTACATACTGTGAAGTGTTCCTGCACAAATCTGGGAAAGTAAGGAAAATATTGTACAGGTCAACATGTCTCTTACGCTTTGGAACTGCAAACAAACAAAAAACTGATTATAGATATAAGATAATGAAGGAGAGAACCTCTGGACAGTATAGCATGGAAACCATTTGAACCCTGCATTGCTCTCCCATTTGTCCACTGCACTGCATGCTGGTCTATTTGCCTGTGCAACATCATGCAGTAAGTGTCATTGACTTAGAACTTTCTGCAGCCTCAGTCTACCAACCCCTTAGGAGATCTGAACATCAATGTCAATGACTGTTGAATGAATTTGAATGGGCTGATGTTGTTCAAACTTCCATAAGCGCACTGTTGAAGGAAAATAATGATTGATAAAAAATATTTTTTTTAAATTATTGCATAGGTAGGTTACTATACGTTGGATTTTAAGCATTAATATCAACGGATTACTCACATGGCGGCCATTTTCCTCACTCTATATGCTCAGGGTGGGAAGCTCAAAAACTTTGTTAAATGATGTGCTGTGTTTCAGGTTTTAAGTTACTAAGTGAATAAGAAATCCTTATCATTTCAGCGCTATCAGAATTATCTTTCATGAAAAAATGAAGATTAAAAACCCAGAATGACATTGGGCTTTAATTGAGGTTAAACAACATAGCCTATTTGATATACCATAAGCTACTTTAAATAGCTTATTTTAGCACTCAGCCAGGTCTTAGCAAATATTAAAGTTAGCTAAGAACCAGCTATGTTAAAATCAAGTCCTGTTTGTGTTATATGTGAGCATAAAACAGGAAAGGCGCAAAATTTTTCTAGCTAACAGCTCATTTAAGCTAGCAGGAATGTTAGCTAGGTTGTGGTTGAATGCTGACATTTGCTGTTGTCTGATGTTAGCTGTGATGATGTGATGTTTTACCTTCAAATACGGCCTAATGTCTTTCCACAATTTGAACTTTCCCATCTGAGTTTGATGTCAAATGAAAATGGCTACCATATAAGTTGAATACAATTATGTTTCCCAACTAAACACTTGAGATAAAAACAAATCTTATTTTCTGATGAACTCTTTAGCTTTAGTTTTTAATTAGATAAATTAACTAAATGTCTTTTGTTTCCCAAAACGTGATCCAACAATAGAACACCATGTTAAGGCTGTCAGAGTCCTCTTTCGATAATGGTCTCATTTGTTTAATGTTGTCGTAAAAGTGAATGAGATGATGATGCACGTTGGTTGCCTTGTTGAACATCACCTTAAAAATATCTGTTTTTTTAGGAACAAAAACATTAATATATTGTCAGATTGTATTATGAGGATTGAAGCGCATCAGGATCAACCACTGTGGGTTTGTTTTGGTGGCTTGGCAGGCAGTCTGGCTGTGTTCTGATGTTTTGGGCATGTCAGCTGGATGGATTATGTTTGGGCTGAAGGAAAAGACGGAACGCTGCCCTGTGTCTGCGCTCTGAACTCTTCTCACTCTCTGAGGGGAAATAGGTGTTGACAGAATCTCCCCCCCCCCCCTCTATATCTTTGTGTCTTTCTATCAACTCACTTTCCCCCCCTCTTCCTCCCCATCCCTCCAGTCAGAAGTTAAGTTTTAAGGAGCGAGTACGGATGGCTAGTCCTCGTGGTCAGAGCATGAAGAGCAGACAGACTTCCATCAATGACCGCCAACGCTGTTCCCCCGGCAACGAGGTGGGGGGCAGTGCCGAACTGATGGGTGGCAGCCCGGCCAAAGTGCAGAAGAGCTGGAGCTTCAATGATCGGACCCGATTTAGGCCATCGCTTAGGCTGAAGAGCCAGTCTCGCACTGCTGTTCCAGATGGTGAGTCATAGGACTAAAAAAACAAAATCTAACATTTGCCCTTTTATGCACGTATAACAATTTAAACATTATTTGAAAAACAACCTTATTTAATCTCTTAAACCTCATTGAACCCCAAGTGTGCCAATATTTTAAAGCTCCTCCAATCCACATAAGCCAGTTTCTATTCAAATGAAGAGCCCAAGTTTCCAAAGTTTTGATATGTAAATATATCAGACTGAGTTTGGAGGAATTGTTTTTGATATGGTTCATAAAGAAATGTGTGAAAAAAAGGGTAAACAACTTTTCCTTATAAACAGAATTTTTAGTTTGAAGGTTCAACTGATTAAGAATAGAACTGGAAAAAGATGATACAGGGTATATATGTGTGTCAGTTGCTGTGGATTTTCAAACAGAATAAAACATATTTGTCTGTCAATTTTGAGGACGAGTTATTAAGATAACATTTACACTCAGATCTTACGATCCCAGAATCTGTGTACAAGACAATTACACTGCTAAACGCAACAAAAGCCAGACGACCACCAACCAAACCACAACAACAATAATTTTGCTACGAAAGCTGCAAAAATCTTTGTTTATGAAGGGATTGAAGGCACAGGAAACTTGGTTTCAAATATTTACTGTTTCTCTGTCACTCTAATGTCCAGTGCTGAATATGCATTATCAGAGAAAGTATCAGAATGACTGTGTTCATGTGGTTTGATCTAATTTTTCAGTGACATTGATCTGGGAACATTAGGAAACAACCCAACAACTACTGTCACATTGTCATGTAAATCTTGGTAATCCTGATTAGTGTGGGGTAGTACAAGTACAAAGTTACATATAAGGAAACATTTTCCAGTGGAGCCCCTCCAACTATAGACCACTTAACAGGACTAAACAGGAGATAGAAATCTCAAATCCAAACTAACCAAAGAGTTCCAGGGACACTTTTAGCTGATGAATATAAAAGGTTGTATGGCCTCTATCAACTCTAGAAACTGTTACTGTATCTAGCCTCATGAATTCCTGCTCTTGCAATTCCATTGCAGTTGACAGCTGGTGTAACAATAAACCTTGAATTGAAAGAAGAAATTCCTTTTCTTTTTTATTTAATTTTTGGATCATTATACTCCATTGTATTGTTGATTGGATGAGACTGTTTTAAAGAAAGTTTCTTATTATATTGTACTAGGATAAACTGAAGCCACTTGTTATTCGCATTTTTTATTACTACTCTTAATTATGATATATTTTGGAGAATGGACTGCAAGTATCACAAGTGTGCAGTGTTTCTTTATGGGATCAAACCTGTACCAACATGTTTTATTGAACTCTCTAAACTTTCTGTATATCTTCTCTGAGAATTCCAGATACACCAGATCTGCATTTTTTCATCACATTTAATAGAAACCTATATGCTACATTAACAAGTGAAATAGCTGCATTATCCTTTTTGCGGTGGACGTCAAAGACAAGCCCTCTATTCTGCCTTACAGATCTTGGGAGTGTACTCCATATTGAGGGATTGCACTATAAGTCCAGTAACAGAGATCATGTATTCCTGCAACCCCTTTTGGTTAAGACAAACTTGGATTGCTCACGCACTTGAGAACATATAGGCTCGATGAGTGTATATTGCTACTTATTGTACATAACTGAGATTGTAAAGTGTCTCTCAACCTTTTAGCTGGTGTCCTTGGTTTTTCTTTTGTTTTTTGCTCTTTTGTAGTTGTTTGTCCCTGTTGGTCTACGCTTCTTTTCCATAAGATCCTCTTGTATTGAACCTGTGTCCAAAAATAAGGACTTGTGCGGATTCACAGGGAAAAGGATTCGTTGCTTGCTTTAAGATAAAAATGAAGGACATTTTTTTTTGCCCTTAGTGCACACTTTGTCTTGTATTTGCCCTTTGGAAATATGTAAAAAAAAAAAACATAATTAAAAAAACAAAGCAATAGCGGACAGTTTTAGTAACATTTCTGTTTCACCTTTTAGTATCCTATGTTTGATCACCTCGATTACTCACTAAATCATTGTGCACACTCTTTTCATCTTTTCCCTTCTGCTTCCCTCCTTCTCTTCATCTCTTTAATGTCTGTCTATGTCTCCCACTCTCATTATTATTGGCAGTATTAAGGATATATACCCACTTCTCTCACTTCACACAGCTGAGCTGGCAAATTACTGCCCATTTCTAAAGATCCAATCCAAGCCGAGCATACATTTTCACCTCCTAAAAGCCAAAATAGTATCACTTTGAAACATTCTTGGCGACTCCCATCAAAACTCGCTTTCGGGAGAGAGTTTTATGAGACAAGAAACTATTAAGCATGGGTCCTCATTCATTATTGAAACAGCGGTCTGTCTCTTTCAGTGGATGCTGGCATGACCACAGAGGATTCCTTTGATGAGAGAGGCTGCCATTGTGATGTCACAGTAGAGGATCTGTCTGCACCGCTCAAGTCTGTCATCAGGGCTGTCAGGTGAGCTCCTGCTGCACTTTTTGTTTGTGAAAAATGTATATTTTGTGCATGCGAGGGCCTGCATTCTGCCAGCCACAACCAAGCCAGACCTGATTTTCCACAGCTATGGCTTATCTTCATTGTGTCAGTGTTTAAAAAAAAAAAGGAGTTTGATGTTCTGGGAAAAAAAATATTTGCTGTCTTTATGATAAATATGAAAGTGCTGCCAGCATAAAGACTAGAAACTGGGGCATACTGACAATGTCTTGCGCGAGCGCAATGACTTCCTGGAAATATTTTCTGGTTTCCTGGCAACCTCAGCATCGTCATGACAAGTATCAATGAAGTTACTGCACCAGGCTAAGAAAAAGGTCTGGGACATAATGAAACCCTTAAGCCCTATTTATTGTTATTTTATACTTTTATTTGAAGAGAATAAACAACAAGGATATAACTTGTTAATAATGATAATATGAATTATTGATTGTTTACTAGAAAGTCTTGGTTGGTGTGTTTTGTTACCTTTGGACATAGCAAGGCTAACTGTTATACCTTCTCTCCATATGTATGCTAATATGATGTGCTTATATTTATACAGACGAGTTTCATCAAAACTTCCAAGATATATGAGCACATTTGAGAACACTTTAAGCTGTGCCTTTAACTTTGACTATTTGTGGAAACAGTAAGTTTCAAGCAAGCGTTGGGTAAAAACCCGAGGGAAACTCTGATCTAGGGAAAGGAAAATTGTGGGCCTGGTCACAAACTACCTCGTGTTACAATTGAAAAGGACAAAAACATGACTATAGGTTTCTTACAGTCGAGGCAAGAAATGATGTAACAAAATCTAGATTCAATCGATAAGTACTACCTTATTTGACTATTTGACCTGAGTCTGGTTGTAAGTGGTTGTATGTACTCATTTGCACAAAGTAGAGGTCAAGTCTTGTTATGCTAAATTCAGATACAACTTGACTTTATGGTATCCAGTCGGTCCAAATCATTAACACTCATCAGTGGTTTTCAGAGTGCAAAAAAAATTCATCTTTATGTTATCTACCTCCTCTCCCGATTGGCCGGTAGTGCAATGTAAGCTTTCAAGCTTATCTTATTGGCTGTATTATGAGTTTGTATGTATTTAATGACTTATGGAACGGTGTAAAGGCAATCTTAATGAGGAGTCACATTGTTTAGATCAATTATTCCCTTGTTCTTTCCTTTTTTTCATCAGGTTAGTCCATTGATTCTAAATCCCCAGTGACGGCTCACTGATGCAGAGTTTCCAGTCAATTGGTGATGTCACTGCACCCCCTCCTCATTTTACAATGGGCTGCTTGTTGGTTGTATGTGACAACGTTTCTGTAACAGGTCGAACACGGCTCATGTTTTCTATTGATTGTTTGGCCCTATGCTTTACTTTACAGGCTGTTTATGATCTGTAACTATTGATCTGAAAGTTCATGAATGATTCAGTGTGAAGGACTTGAATAAAAATCAAATTACCACCAGTTAATGGAGGGATCTATTTTTAAAGTCTGAGGAGTCAATGGACTATGTGTACTGTTGATTTACACAAGAAAACCAAGTACAGTTTAAATGAATTGAGGCTATTTAAGAATGTGATGAATTTGAATTTCATACCTGTTAGTGTTTAGTTTAAAACCCTGTTTACTTATATATTCCCTCGCAGCCTTACAGCGTCTTGAAATGAATCGGTAACACAACACAGCAACACAGACCCCTGTAGTGCTTCCCTCCACTATACAAGTCATTCTGGAGGGGAGAAACATACATTTCACACATGAGTGCAGAGGTTCTCATGGTGTTTGGTTCCCTGAAGCACAGCATTTTTAAAATCTGTTTCTTTTCTTTTCTCCTCCATGCTTTTTTCTCCTTATCAATATAACCCTCTGCTGGGTTTGGCTGCAGGGGGTTTCAAGCAGAACTTGTATGTGTGTTAATGTGTGTCGTCTTACACTGGCACCGGCACCCTGCGAGCGAATGTTTATCTAACTGGCGCCAACTGATTCTCTCACTCCACTGCTTCTTCTCACCCTCCTCATAATTTTTTCATTATAAAAATGTCCAGTTTCTCCACTCAATGAAGCAGGATTTACACTTAAATTGGTGGTTGGTGAAAAGATTGACTTCCGGTTCAAAGATGATTGAGCTACTTGAATTTAAGCAATGCTGTGCTGAGTTTATCATTCTAGATTTGACCACATAACTCCCTTCTTTATTCTACCCTGTATACTGCAGTGCATTAGAGATAAATGGACACTTAGAGATATATAACATATAGATGCTTTACATATAGACCACAGCGTCTTTAATAAGAAGTCCTATAGCTGCCAAAATTTACAAAAACAATACATTTTCACATAAACATATTGGGACTTAATGACCTATTAATTATGTCCAATAATCCTCAAGAATGTCATATGCAGCATTTACCTTTACTGATATTTACAGCGGATGCAGCAATGATAGCCAGTTTAACCATTTAGCTGTCGGCTATCAAGTTAATTTCCCACCAACATCCCTAATCCAGCTACTTTGACGAACAAGTATTGTTTTGAGCCATTTTTTTTAAATCAAAAAGTGCAAATTCTCTGATTTCAGCTTCTAAGATATGGATGCTTTTGTGTGTTTTTCCCTCCTCTATGAAAGTGAACTGAATTCCTTTGGGTTGTCAAAAAACAACATATATGAAGATGTAAATCTGCACTTTAGAAACCTTGATCATTTTCCATATCGTGTTGCATTTTCGAGATCAGTCAACTAATCGACAAAATGATCAATAGATCAATCAATGATGAAAATACTTATAAGCCCTTGTGCTTTATTCAGTCATATTGTCTTTCAGTAAAGCTTCCTGTTCTCTAAAACAGCTCTGACAGTGACTCGTGAGTCGGGTGTGAACGCAGTGATGGAGAGAATGAAAACAAAACTCAATTAAGCCTTCCTCAATGAAAATGTAAAATAGTGATTCATGAAGCTGCAGGGTATGTGCACTAGCTATAAGGTTTGTATGACTCATTGTTGAACATGATACTGAATATGTGTAATGTGAAATGTTCTGATTGACAACTCTGTTAACAGTATCTGATTGAATTGTTTCATATCTTGTTTGAGCAAACTGTATCAAATTGTATTGCACTTTATCATAATGTATCATATAGTACAATATATCGTATCGTGTCTTCTATCAATCGAATATAAACATATTGTACTGATATTACCAGAGAGCCAATTCACACAAAATAAATCAGAGATGTACAAGTTGCAGTTATAGTTATAATGAAATACAGTGGGTATTTACTTCATCTGCTCTGCTATTGTGTCATAATTACGTATTTGCACTGAGAAGGATCAAAGTTGACGAGGTTTGATACTTCTTTGTGAAGTCACTGTGTCAATCTCCCTTTTTCTCCAGCCTGTCTGTCTTTCTCTACTCTCAAACACAAAAACAGATTATAACTACCAATCAACCCTGACCGGCCTGCCCACCCACCCAGCAGGCATTTCTCCATGGGCAGCCAGAGCCCAGGGCTTTCCCAGGGTGTCGGGTTGAGGGTTGTACACCCCCTTCCCCTGCCAGGACTGTTATTACAGAGGGTCATCTGTTCCCATTGTTTCAATTTAGACAGTGAGAAAAACAGGCAACTGGAGAAAAGCAGAAGCCACCAGGGAATCTAAATGCACCTAATACATAGCTCCCCTTACCTGTATCAATATTATTCGCACAGCAGTGCTGCTGTGCACCAAATTGAAGGAGATAGAAGGGTACACTCAAGTTTCAAAGTCATTCATCTTTGTTGTTATGGATCTGACAAGAGAACCAGGGAGCTTTGGTTTCCCCTTAGTTCCACTCTGAGGTATCTGATCTTTCAATAATGTTTCCTTTATTACACTCCAAGAACAGATCAACAAGTGAAAAGTTACATAGGTCCTCCTGTTCCACAAGTCGCTGCTACCATCTACTGGTTTCTTATAGTTATTACATCCTTTTTCAGCACTTCAGTATACATGATCTCCTACGTCTCTTTATTTTACTTGATGTACTTAACTTTCCGTGTGTGTGTGTGTGTTCAGGATCATGAAGTTCCATGTTGCCAAAAAGAAGTTTAAGGAGACATTGCGTCCGTATGATGTGAAGGACGTTATAGAGCAGTACTCTGCAGGACACCTGGACATGCTCTGTCGCATCAAAAGCCTTCAGACCAGGTCAGCACACAGACACAGAGTCAGACACACACACACACAAACACACACACACATCTCACATTATTAGCCCGTCTAAAAGTCATCATTCTTTATACATTCCTACTTATTGTTTATTATTTTTAAAATATATTTTCAATGTTATTTTTTTATAAATGTTTTGTGACTTATGAGATGCTGCTGTCATTGTTGCTTCAAACGTTTCACTTTGTAGTATCCCATTATATGAAATTAACCCACTTTTACCCCAATCTAACCCTAAACTATGTGCATATATGGTCTGTATATATACATGTGTGTGTCCCCTCTCTCTCTCAGACTTGACACTGTAGTGGGTCCCCCTCCAAGACCCTTCAGCAGCCCCAACAAGACCTTTTCCTCTCCTTCCCTGCATTTATATTACAGCCAGGCCAGGAGGAAACAGTCTTCACTGGGGTTAGACCACACCCCGACCTGTTCTGCTTGCCAGTTTTCTTGCTAAGATAACTAAACCATGATGATGTCACACTTGGGTCAAGTCTCATCCATTCACATGCCTTACATCTATTAGAACAGCCCCTGCGTACATACATTTATATTAATGTACATACCTGTACATATGTTTAGCCAATAAATGTCGAGGGAAGTCGTAAATCTTTTTTTGTTTATGCACTTTAATTTAGATACAGGGCTGATTCATATTCAACAAAGTCCAAGTGATGTAGCTCAGGGACCGCTGTCTCACACAGCTAGCGAGCTTTCTCAGATTTTTGTATAGCTCAAGATCTAGCAGCTTTTTTCGGGTTTCAGTTTCTTGAAGCAGCTTAATGCCACCTCTATAAGCTTTTAGTTCTTCAACAAAATTCAACAATCACTTAATTTTTGAAAGTAAAGCTGATGTATTGTTTCAGAAGGGGTTGTGCTAAAACAGTAATACATGTCACATTTTCAAACCAAGTTTTTAAAAATAATCTGGACTGTGATCCACTGGTTTGTTATGTTGTGTGAATCACTAAGTGGTTCTGTAGGTAATGCCATGTTGTAAATTGAAGGATTTTTTTTTACCCCAACAGGGTATATATTGTCTATCTGGATCTGTTATGAGAAATTATTTTTTAAAGCAGCAGTGGCTTATAGCATGGGTTACGGCAATAAACTTGCTTCCCAAGATTTTTTCAAAATGAACAAACAGACAAAACAACTTAAAAACAAAACAAATGCCAGCATGAATATCAGCCTGTGAAAACCCCATTTAATGTAACTTTCATACTGTGTTTATTTGCATACTTATGTTGTTTGTTGTAGATTAGTGTTGGACTTGATTTCTTCATCTAGCCACCTGTGCTTTCTGCTTGTGTGTGTATGTGTGTATAAATGTGTTGAAATGTGTGTGTGTGTGTGTGTGTGTGTGAGAGAGAGAGAGAGAGAGCGAGAGAGAGAGAGAGGGAGAGAGGTGAATCTGACCCAGTGTTTCTCCTATCTCCAGACTGGCCAGTGCAGCGAGCTCTGGTCCCAGCCTGAGTAGCCGATCCAGGAACATGTCCTCTCCTGCCCTGCACTATTATTGCAGCAACAACAAGAAGAAGCTCTCTGGCTCAGGGTTACTTAAATTTCACTTAATTCAAGTTTAACCCGTACTAGACTCCCCGTTAGTTATCTCCATTTCTACCATTAGTTCCCCTGCAGTCCCTGCAAAACAAACACAAAATCTGACATGCTTGTAGTGATGCAATGAAAGGTCATGTCTTTCTGTCAGTTCCAGATGGTTAGAGTTTGCATTTTATAGTGTCATGTAGAAGATTTGGTGTTACTCACACACAAAAATGGAGGTGAAACATTTACTTTTGTAAATGTTTACCAACTAGGACAGACACACATTTACTTTGCAGTTAATGCAAATTCATACTAACGTGTACACACACATTTATTAAGACATAATCAATTGAACTAATTCATCAAAGAGTGACATTAAAAAGTTGGAAACAGATAAGAACTGGTATTTTGAATGCAGCACAGCATAGCATCATTAATGAAAATATTTTTATGGAAGGTTTCCTTCTTACACAGACTTTATAGTTACAATACTAAAGCCTTGCTACTTAAGTATTGGTAGTTTTCAAGGAGAAGGCTATCCTGTGAATATTTTGGGTTAAATTGGTTATATTTGAAAGCCTCATTTTTAGGGTATTTTTGTTCTGCCATTCCATTTCTTTAAGGATTGATATTCGATGCAAAATGATTTGTATTTGTGTAAATGTCTATTAGAGCCAGTCAAACTCTGAATACTGCATGGAATCCAATCTGAAAATGCTTTTCTCCTTTCTTTCTTGAAAAGCACCATTTGGTGGATAATTGTTTTTATTTGAGAGCAATGATATAGTCATGGATTGTGTGTTGTGTGTAATACTAACCCTAATCTAAACATCCTAGTGCTGCTTTAGGTTTGTTGCCTGACTCTGGGATAACCTGGAATGAAGCTTGGGGGCCTACTCACATTACAACATCAGTATTTTTGAACATATTAACACAGAAATACGTGTGTTTGTGTGTAACAGGGTGGATCAGATTCTGGGAAAAGGCCAGATTCCGTTGGATAAGAAAATAAGGGACAAGCTGCACCCAGATGGAGATTCCTTGGAGGGGATGAGCATGCTGGGCCGTGTGTGTAAAGTGGAGAGACAAGTGAGGAACTACATCAGCACTTTTCAGCAAGATTTGTATTGTCCAATAACTGGAGGTGTTTGCAAGGAGTTAAAATATACCAATGACTCTGGATGTATGTATGACATCTGTTTTTAGTTTTATCAAGGTTAGAGGACTCAAAAAAATGACTTGGTTGAAATTAGAGGTCAAATAAACTGCTCCTGTGAAATACAGTGAAAATTACAAACTGGATTAAAATGAATTCTCTTTTCTCTGTTTTTTTTGTTCAAGGTAACTTCCATTGAATCAAAGTTGGACTCTTTGCTGGATGTTTACCGCCAAGTCCTCCAGAAAGGCCCATCAGCACTGACCCTCTCCTCCCTGCCTCTGTTTGAGCTGGACAATCACCAGCGCCATACCTCCGACTACCAGACCTCCGTCATTGGCAGGGATCTCCCCTCTCCACATGAGGGAGATCCGCTCAGAGCGGGAGGCGACAACAACAGGGGACCAGGTCGCTCTCTTAGCGGCAACCCGAAAGGCCTGCGGCTAATCCTGCCGCCCGCCGATGACGAAGGCCCCCCAGACTCAGCACCTCCATCTTACCCCCCGTCCACAGCCTCACTCTCCCCCTCACCCCTTCTGCCTCCAGATAGCCCCTACCCAACTGTAGTCACCCCTAATGGGACCTCCAAGAGACCACACTTCCCTGACCTGCCGCCCCCTCCCTCAACCGGGGGTTTCACCCTCCGGCTTCCCCCCGTCATGCACCCCTCCTACCTTGGATGCCATGCTAACCCAGTCCCAGATGAAATGGGGGATGAGGTGGTTGTGGATGAGGGGGGTCTTGGTCCTTCTCTTGTTGTTGAATCTAGTGCGGATGCTGACCAGGTTAGGGACTGTGAGGCAGGCTCAGTGACGCTGCGGGAGAAGTCAGACTTGAAAGCTGAGGGGGTCTGGAGGAGGCACATGAGCCTGGAGGTCAACCCCATGCTGCTGCTCTCATCTAGCCCAGATGGGACACCTTCAGACTGGGGGAGCGGTCTGGGGAAAACTCTCTCCGTTCAAAATCTCAGCCAGCCTTTGACCAACCGTGCCCCTGCACTGTCCTCAGCGCTCAACAGCAGCAACGGTAGTGAGGATGGAAATAACCACGGGGACATAAGCAACTGGGATGGAGCAGAACTTTTCATCAGTGAGTGCAAACTAGAGCCAGAGGAAGAACTTTTCAACTTTCAGTCCCAGGGGCCCTGCAGCAGCTCCGCAGAACGTTTACAGACTGTAGAAGAGGTGGCACCCCGACCCAAAGGAAACACAGATTTTCTCAGTCAATCACCACACATACAGTTGGCATAACCACACACACACACACACACACATACACACGTATAAAAAAATGTCCAGGACAGGAACAAACCAAGATCAATGCCTTGTTTAGGGATAAACCCTTTATTTTAACATTTTCTCAAAATGATTATTTCCACTGTCACAATATATATTTTTGTAATATACCTATGAGGTACTAAAATTATCATTAAGAGATAAAAACATATGAATAAAAGTGGGTCTATTCTTGAAAGAAGAATTGCAGAAAAACCTGCAACCTCCCTTTAAAACGACTCAAAAATAGCAATTTGATCAATTTGACCCTGTAAAGGCTTTGTTTTATTATCCAATAGTATTTTAATGAACGGTTATGACAGATGTCGGCTCATTTACTTCTATTTGAAATAAAAAAGGGAGGAATGTTTACTGTGATTTCTGAGCCTGCAGTCTGACACCTGCCGATTATGTGTAGAAGGAAAATCTCGTTATTACACTTGACACAAGAAACTTTGAGAGAGGTTAACTTTATTTTCAGAGTCATAGAGCAGTCCTACATTTTGAGTAACTTGAACCTGAAACAGAGCAGCTAGTTTTTGCTTACATGCAACTTTTCTCTTAAGAAATTAGACATCAGATACATCAGGGAACGAGTGCCAACCTGGACAGTAAGATTACATACATAACATAATGAATAGTCCAAAAAAAAAAAGACACATTAAAACACGCTTACACACATACAAATGACAACAGCACCCAAAAAGAAGTGAGACTGACTGGTGTCTTATTCTTTCTACAAGTGCTTGTATTCAAAGCCTTCCTCAGAAGAAGGGGAAGAGTGAATTATTCTCCTTGATCAATGTCTGTCTTTTGACATGTAAAATGTCATCGTTTACTTAAGCTTTCATACATATCACCGCATGGACTGTTTCTAAAATGAATGAATGAATGGTGAATAATGGAGGGAGGCCTGGTTTGATGGGAAATCTGAATTTCTGACAGAGTTAAAAGTCACTCCCTTGGAATGTTTCAGACCACACTCATCTCTTTCTGTTAATTCTCTATAGACACAGATTGGTCGTTTCATCTGTTGGCAACATGTTTGTATCCATTGGGGAAGATAGCTGATCAGCAATCACTTAAAACAAGTGCTGGGCCATATTCAACCTGATTTGGACAGTAGTAGCTAGCTGCATGCTAATGGTCTGAATGCTGAACTGCAGTTCAGATACCTTGAGGGTTATTCCAGCCAAGCATGAGGTACTGCATGTCAAAGCTGTTGCAATAACTCAAGAGCAGTCGCTCACTCCCTGGTGGCCAGGATGGACTACTGCATGTTAAAGTACTGTTCCCTAAAAACCTCATCAAAAAGGTACGAACAAAGTGAGCCTATATAAACATTATTATCCTAATTAAAACTAATTTGAAACTAGTTTAATCTTGTACTGCCACTTGTGTGGATAATCAACTTACATTTGAATTTTATGACAAGCTTACAACCTTTGAAGGTAATGAAATGTTTTTGACAAACCCTGTCTTTTTTAACAGGTGCTGGTTGCACAATGCACATCAATAATTGTGAAACCCACAACAACTATTTACAGAACATACTTGTTTTCATCCAGAATACATGATGAAAGAGAGGTTTAGAGGATTGTTGGTACCTACATTTGAAATTTCTAATATTTTCCATGTCTTCATCTTACTCATCCCATGCTCATAGGATCTTTGAGAGGGGATTAAGCAGGAATTCTAAGATATTGTAATATTTTGGTAAATTAAATCCATATTCAAAGTGAAAACTTTGTATGTTTTAAATTAGGATTAAGTATTGCAATCATGTTTAACGACATTGGCCATCTCTACACTTGATGTCAGTGTTTTGAAATGTTATCCCTATGGTACATACGTTTCCAGCTCTTAAACAAGAGTTATGCAGAAACCCTATCCATCTTAGTTTGTGCCACTCTTTTTTAAATGTCTTAAGGGATAAGCAGTCTTAAAGTTGCATTTTCATGTGTTAATGACCTTTATTCATTTATTATTTTTACAGAATCTGTTCCCTTTGTTTTGAATGGCGAGTAAGTGCATTGCTTAGGAAATTAACAATCTCTAGTGGATTATAATATATTTTATCCTCTAACAAATGTTAATTGTAAACACTAGTAGATGGTTTCTTTAAATATTCTACATGCAGGTTGCTGATTAAATATATTATAAAATAAAGGCACAGCTGTTTTTTGTCTGAAGAACCTGAAAATGTGAACTGGTAGTTTAATACTAAATATTATTGGAATAGACTTGTAGTTTTATGAGTATTTCTACAAACCCTAGGATAAGAGGTCAGCCAGGACTCACAGTTACTTTGTAGCAGGATATGGTACACATAGGCCTACTGAATAAGTAGACCCTATGGACTTTGGATGGATTATTACCCTCAAAAAACCTGCCCATTTTTGCAATCTGTAAATTGCTTCATGATATCTGTGTTGCATTCGAACGGGTTTATTTTTCCAATCTACAAATGTCCTATAGTTGAAATCGAACTGCTCAATTTGAATCGGGCATCCATTTCACTTAAGTAGCTTTAACCACCGACATTATTAGGCTCCTATGGCCAATGATACCCTCTCCCTACTGCTTAAACAGCAATTTATTACACAACTGGCCTTAAAGTTTGATGTTAACATTTATTATTTCTTTGAAATTAATTTATTAAAGTGCACATAATGTTCTCTGGGTGACAAATGCAAAAGTAATTTTATTATACATTAATAAAGAACAAATTAACTCAACTGTTTTGTCTCATTGTTTTTTTTTTCCCCCCCCCAAAGTGTTTGCAAATACACAAACACTAACACTTTTCAGACTAACTAGGGTCACAAAATGTCATGTTGCCTTCAGGGTGTTGCTAAGGAATGAATACGGTCTTATATCTGATGCTGTGTTTTTATTTTTATTTTTTTATTTACTACATTTTTATGTTAAAATAATTTAAAATAAATACATAAACTCCAGTCCTTATTTATAATATTCGTCATGATCTCGTCATATCAAAGTAGGAAGAGGGGAAGTGAAGTCAACACCGTCTTGATTGACAGCTCGACACTTAATTGGACGTAGCTAGCTCGCGCTTCGCAGGTGGGGCGGGAAATTAAAAAAAAAAATGGACGACTGGGAAGACGAGTACACCGCGGACGGCGTTGCTATCTACAAGCCTGTAACAAAATCCTCTGAATGGAAACCGCCGTGCAGTGACAGTCTCAAGGAAAATGTTTCTTTCGGTGTAAGAAATGGCGCCAGGTTTGGAGCCCCGAGAGAGTGGAGAGCTCATCGTGGCACCGAGAAAAGAAGCTGGAGGGACGGGGGCGAAGGTCGTCCGTTTCCCCGGAGCACGGAGCGCGAAGGCCCGCCGGGCAGACGACCCTTTGAAGAGGAAAACTACAACTCACCTGTGACGATACACGTGGAGAATGCCTTAGTTGGAAGGATTATTGGTTGGGACTTTCTTGTAACACTTTTTCTTTTGAAGAAAGTGACATTATTAAACATTTTTCAGTATTTATTGGACCACACTGCTAAATCAGCCTGGCTTCAATTTTAACCATTTTTTTTCTAAATTACACCTTGCTGTTAAACCATCTTACTTGTGTATTACCTCCTTAGACGTAAACCATAGGTTATTTATGTGTCAAATGTTGTTACTACTCATGTAAAGTCATTTTATTTATTTAGTTTTAATATATTGTAACCTTGTTAAAGGTCGTGGAGGAGCGAAAATCCGTGAACTTGAAGAGAGCAGTGGTGCAAGAATTAAGGCAAGTACATTTTTGTCATTGTAAAAACTTAAAAGCTCATTTATTAATGAACTGACCAGTGCTGGGCTGATGTGAATTTCACTTTAAAATTGAATCTGCCTTTTTTCCCCCCCAACTAGAAATTAATTTGGTTATATCTTGTCTAAATTTGTCTAAGACTGACTTAGTGTGCTTGTTAAGTGCTGTTTTTACAGCAAGATTTCTTTCTTTTTCCAACAAAACCTGCAACACAAACATACAGTTAACAATTTGAAGTTGCTCTTTGAAAATCAGACTGTTGTAAAATCCTCTTATGGAGGAAATTCACTTGCGAAGACCAGAATCAAATCAGTTGAAAGACAAACAAGTCCTAAAAGTGTCTGGGTTAATTAGAAACCATCTTGTTTTTAAATTAAATATCATTCCTGAATAGTACAAAACCTTTACGAGGCATGAGCAAGGTAATTGATGGTTATTGCATGTTGTTGTTTCAACTGGATCCATCAGGAAGATTTAAGTGTGGGGTTACAGACTTGTGTATAAATATGTATTTACATCTTAGATAACATGCATGTTGAATCGGGCATGTATTTCTCAAATTGGCTATAATACCCTGTGTGCAACTGCTTGTCTCTTTTTCTAGATAAACAATGGAGACGATGAGGGTGAAGTGCTTATCTTTGGGTCGTCAGATGCTCAGCAGAAGGCCAAGGAAATGATTGAAGAACTGGTTGCAGATGGCAGCTCTCGTTTTCGCAGTGGTATGAGCTATGCATTTCTAGAAAAATCTTGATGCTCAATTATTTATTGGCAGTTGTGCGTCTCAAATTGAACATAAAACTTGTATTATCAAATGCAACAGATGCTTACCCACAATTTTCACATAGTCTCTGAAAGCCCCCCCGGTCCTTCGTGGGCCTAAAGCGCTGTTCGTTGGCACTCTAGTCAATGATTGTGTTTCAGTCTCAGGAGCGTGCTAGCAGCGACATTTGCTCGTTCCAAAGACGCACCGAGTCTATTTTTGACGGAGCCCGCTACAAGTACATGTCACGCTAAACAGAGTATATCAACCCCCACAGGAAGTCAGACAAGGAAACAAACAGAGCATCCGGTCAGTGTCAAATAAAACACAATTTACAGACTCCTGAGCGTGTCTTAGAATCTCACTGAGATTTAATCCTGAATGATTTATGTTACTGTTAGGAACCAAAACGCAGAACTGTAATACACGTGCCTTATCAAATCCACAAACTTTAGAAGGTAATTTGATCCCCAAGCCAAGTTGCTGTGTGATCTTATCAAGGGTGGATAAAGTTAGAGGAGAAGACTGGGCAACATGGTCATCAAGTTCTTTATTGAGTTCAGATTTAAATTAGCAGCTGAGATGCCATTTAAGCATTATTAAAAACCAGCAGATGCCAATCCAAAAGACAAGCAACATTTTAGCCAATGTGGTTAAGGTAAAACTCTAGTTAATCGTTTAAAAAGTCGTCAATAAAAGAATCTCAAAGTGTTTCAGCTTTCATTATTCAATAGCAAACAAAGGTGGAGTAGCTAAACACCCTCCTAAACCTCGATTTTGGGAAAACACAACAAGCTTGCTGCCAAGGACTATTACAAACAAACAAAAAAAAACTACAGGCACAGTCCACTAAATGTAGTTGGTGTGCCCATTGCTGCTGACTTACAAGTAATGACTCAACTTTGGTTGAATGGCTTCTTAAAGCATATCAGCAAGGGCTTCACGCTACAGCTCTATGTGCCTTTTGAATTGCTCCCCGGGAACAAATCAAGTTTTCTGAATTGAGTTGAGTTCCACTTACCTTAATCTCCTGTGGTGTAATGCTCTGATTCTCAGGTCCAGGTAAGGGGGGGACTACTACAGAGGAGAAGGAGGAAGTGATGGAGGAGTTGGTAAAGGCTCTGTGTGGTCTGCTACAGCATTGCGCACTGCAAGCGAGGCCCAGCCCAGTGAAAGCATAGACTGGAACGCCATCCGGGAGAACAAGGACAAGTATGCTGCCATGAAGTGGAAGGGTGAGAGCTCAGGTTTCAAGTGATCTACATCAACTGCAGTCCACAAGTTTATTGTTTTCATTATTTAGCAGTATTCTGGATTTCAGATTAGAAATAAATAAAAAAATGACTATGTTAAAGAATAACGGACCTTCAGCTTTAATGGAGGTTTGGAAATGTTCACCTGAAACACACCGAAATGTTGCCCACTCTACCATTGAGTAGGTTTGGTTTTCATTTGACTTGAATCGATTCTTGTTTTTAACAAGTCCCTGTTCTGAATACAAAATGGTAAAATCAAGAGCCAATGCTCATGTAAAACCCTTCAAGTGTCTCATTTAAAATTGTCTATGCTAGCCTGTTTGTAGTTACAAGCTTACATTCAATAGCTTGTGATATGGTGCTAGCATTTAATTGCACAGTGAGATGGGTGTTATTCATTTCCTAAAACCATTTCTGTGATCTTTTGCAACTTTCTTCAGACCTCCCACCATTGAAGAAGCATTTTTACACTGAGGCAGAAAGTGTTTCCATGCTCACAGAGGAGGAAGTCAGTGAGTGGAGGTAAAGCTGGCAGAAAAAAAGAATACTGTTCACAGGCTCTTCTAAAATGACAAACCGTCTACTTTTTCAGTGTATTTATCACACCGACCAGTCTGATTGTCTTTAATTTGTCAGTGGTACCTGAAAGTGAAAGAACATCCTTTGTCCAGCTTGGAAACAATGAAAAATACAGCTGATTTGTGTGGTGGGAGGAAAAACAGTGAAGTTTTGCCCAGATGTGGTCTCTTAAATATAAACAGCAGTTACACACATTTTGTATTTATCCTTCTCCAGAACTTTTGTCTTGTTTGAAGTTCACGATTGCACTTTTGCATAGTTCCATTTTTTCTTATTTTTGTTGTGTGTGTGTTTTTTTTTTTATCTGCAGGAAAGAGAATAACAATGTCTTTGTGGACGACCTGAAAGAGGAGGGGAAGAAGAGGCCAATCCCCAATCCCTGCCGCGTCTTCCTGGAGGCATTTGAGCCCTATCCAGAGATCATGGAAAATATTGAACGTGTTGGCTTTGTCAAACCAACTCCCATCCAGGTATGAGCCTGACACTCCACAAATGTATTTAGTAACTTATCGCTAAACCCTTATTGTATTACTGCTGAATTTATTACAAACAGTAGACCCACATTCTCCACTGAGGGACATAATGATGAAATCTAACACAGCTGTAGCTGATAGTTATGTTGGTTTGACATTGAACAGACGAGATCAATAAAAAAAAAAACGTAATCCATCCGCTGTTAACAACTTATTTTCATTTATTAACAAAAACCAAATGACCCAATATTTGTTTTATGTCCTCCAGGACTCAAAGATAAACCAAATCCATAAAGATCAAGACCACTGTGACCGTTTCTTTTTCACCCCAACCCCCACAGTGCAGACACAAAATGTTTTCATTATGTTTCCTGGATAAAATGTTGTGTTATTTAAAAGAAAGGATGCCCTGCCTTTGATATGAATTGAAACATGTGAGATGGATACAGCTCTAGTTTTGTGTAATTTGAACTTTTACTCTTTGTTATTGCGTAAGTGTATTATGATGATTTTCTGCCTTGTCACCAGTCTCAGGCCTGGCCTGTGTTGCTGACTGGGGAGGACCTGATAGCTATTGCTCAGACAGGAACAGGGAAAACCCTAGCCTACCTGCTGCCGGGGTTCATCCACATGGAGGGACAGGCTTTGTGAGTGTATTCTTTTATCAGTCACTCTAGTACTGTACTGTTGTTTTTTTTGTTTCTTGTAACGATATGCAGCTTTGCTAATTGTGCATGATTGTCTGTCAAACTCCTTCCATCTTTTTGTCTCGCTTCAATGACAGACCTAGAGCTGAGTGGGGGGGTCCAGGCATGTTGGTGCTGACTCCTACCAGAGAGCTGGCCCTGCAGATAGAAACTGAGTGCAAAAAGTACCGCTTCAAGAGCTACAAGAGGTCTAGCAGTCCTATTTTATCAAACTGTTTTAATGACAAGCTTACAATCAATGATATACGGTGATCTTAAAGCAACAGGACTATGACTATTAAATCTGTCCCCCCTCAGTATCTGTATCTATGGTGGAGGGGATAGGAGAGCCCAGATCAAGCTGGTGAAGGGCGGCGTGGACATAGTGATCGCCACACCAGGCCGACTAAATGATCTGCAGATGAATGAGCTCATCAACCTCAGCTCCATCACCTACTTGGTCAGTTGTTTGTATACGTCTTTGTTCTTGTGCGAGGAGGATTGAACAGTTGGTTAGTGCTCTGTCCATAATATAAGTTTCACCTTTTAAAGGTTTCATTTTTTCAAAGTCATCAAATAATTACCCGAATTGAATCAGTGAAGCAAAAAAATGTAGTGTCATGTATGGGCTTTGTCTGTTTTTGTACATATTGTGTCTAGCAGTACATTAGTATATGGTTTTTAATAACTACTCTGATCACACACAAAAAAAAGGTGCTGGACGAGGCTGACCGTATGCTCGATATGGGCTTTGAGCCCCAGATTATGAAGATCCTCCTGGACATCCGCCCAGACCGCCAGACTGTCATGACCAGGTAATCAGTCACATGACATGAAGTACTTCAAGTGAATGTTGTCACGTTATTGAAAGAGTCAACAGAGCACACCTAAAGAATCCATACTATCCTGTGTTGGTCAGTACTCCTTGCACTGTTTTCAGATAGTGTTATCATGTATATATTATATAGATTTTCCATCATGCCATTAAAGAAAAAACCTCTAAAGGAAAGTGTCATAAAAAGATAGATATACTGTATTCCATTTCACAACTGTATTTTATTTCATAAGAAGAACAGAAGAACTGCTGCATTAATTTATTCCTTTTGTTGTTACTCTTCCTTAAATAAGTGCTTTTTAGGTTTGCTGGCAAACATTGTCAGGTGCACACTTTCAAATTGAAAAGAAAGTAATTTTAAGATTACCTCAATGTTTTTCAGCGCCACCTGGCCCCCTGGTGTGAGACGGTTGGCAAATACCTACCTAAAGAACCCCATGATGGTTTATGTGGGCACCCTGGACTTGGCGGTTAGTGGAGATAAATACAGTTAATCAGTATGTTGACCGGGTGCTTGGTCTTGGATGCACCCAGTAAACCTACTGAATATTAGTGAAACCACTGTTTCTTGACTAAAATGTATCTTCACGATCCTCTTTTTGCTCTTGTGAGGTGAATTCTATTTATTGTGATCCTATATGAATATGTGCATGCTTCCTGTGTTCCTCTGGGTCCTAGGCAGTCAACACAGTGCAGCAGACAGTGCTGATGGTCCGTGAAGAGGAGAAAAAGTCATATGTGTTTGACTTTATCAGAAATATGCTGCCTGATGATAAAGTCCTCATCTTTGTTGGCAAGAAGATTTTGTAAGTAGAGTCACCAACATGCTGCTTGTTGTTGCATTTTCATAAAAAGAAGTTTACCACATATAAACTATCAAATTCATCTGTGTCTCCTTGCTTGCAATCTCAGGGCTGACGACCTGTCCAGTGACATGTGTCTGCAGGGTATGGCTGTGCAAAGTCTGCATGGTGACCGTGAGCAGTGTGACCGTGAAGAGGCCCTCAAGGACTTCAAAGAGAGTACAGGACCCAAAATCACCTTAAAGAAGATTTTAAATTTAAGTGTTTCAAGCATCTGAAGTTTAGGCTGAACAATCAAATTGATTGCAGAATAACAGAGTTCTTGTTCCCCCCCCCAGGTCGAGTTCGTATCCTGGTCGCCACAGACTTAGCATCTCGGGGGTTGGATGTTCATGACATCACACACGTCTTTAACTACGACTTCCCACGTAACATAGAAGAGTATGTGCATCGCGTGGGCCGCACTGGACGAGCAGGGTAAGGGTGTTTGGTGTTTTGCAGGGATCACATGTAGGAAAATCACTGCCAAGTGTTCTGCTGCTGTTCTTTGGTTCGTTTGAAATGTTAATGCATTTATCTTTCAGACGGTCAGGTGCTTCAGTTACCCTGGTAACAAGGGAAAACTGGAGGATGGCCGCTGAGCTTATTCCAATCCTGGAGCGAGCAGGACAGGTTAGCATTGACATTTAAATAGAAGTATCATTCTATTTTAACAGTAGACTAACCAGTAGCGTTTTGTTAATAATCATAGAGCTTTAGTGGTTTTCACTTCATAGAAAGCATAATAACAAAAATGGCACTTTCGATTAAATCACAGAATAGTTCTTTGAAATAGAAATCTGGTTTTGTCCTCTTTGTGGCTCTAAGTCAGTAAATCGGGAATAACTGTTCCAATGAAGTATTGGCAACATTGATAGCTGAGATGAATTTTTAAAAAAAACTAAATGTGAAGAATGTGTTTGCTGTTATTTGAATGCTTAAAGGTGAACTATGTAGTTTTGGTTGTGAAATTGGAAAGTTGAAGTGAAACATTTCTGTATCTGAACTTAATGCACACACTTTACTCAGAAAAAAAATGGGTCCCTGGAAAAGTGTTTGGAGCTAAACAGCTTCCAGGAGATTTACAGTTTCACTGTTGCGGGCCCCCCACCATAACTTCTCACACAACATTTTATCTTCAAACTGTTACAGAGACCAAATTTTCCTCTGAGGACAGTTTGTGTATTGAGTTATGAACATATACCACAGAATCTGTACACTTCTCTAACTTAAAAATGTCTCTACTAAAACTACATAGTGCACATTTAAATAACTTTTATTCTAGGTTTTTATATATATATATATATATATGTATGTGTGTGTGTGTGTGTGTGACAAACCATGATGACATGTTGCAGGAGGTCCCTGAGGAGCTGGTTCTTATGGCAGAGAGATACGAGAAGCATAAGAGGGAGAAGGAGGTGTACGGTCCAAGAGGGGGAGGAGGAGGAGGAGGAGGAGGGAGAAGAGATTTTGGAGGAAGAGGAGGCAGGGATCGAGGTCAAAACTGGGGATTCTAATGCATGATTGTTAATGTAAGTCAACACATTCAACAAATTGTCTACTTATTAACATAAAACAATAAGCTGAAAGTTTGGTAGAAATAGGTGAAATTCATGTGCTGGTATTCTGAAGGAATATTTATTTACAATTTGGGACTAATATCCATTTCCTTTCTGTTTTTTCTCTCAAAGCAGAGTGAAGCAGGATCTGAAACCGCCTGTGTTCTAACTTCTTTTGGATGTATATGTCATTCATTTTCTTTGTTTAGATTCTTTTATTTCCTTTTTTCATTGTACAATCATCAATTATCATTGGAGGCAGTTCATGCACCTTTATTTGTTTTCCTCCCGTTTTAAAAATATTGAAATCCACAAGTTTGACGTAAATCTTCAGCCTGTAACTCTCCAACCACAGCAGTGTGCAGTATCACCCTGAACATTTTGTTATGTCATTTTCTGATTTGTGATGAAAATAACCTGTATAATAAATTCTCTTTTTTAAAGAGATGTGAAACAAAGTATATATGTGAATGTCTTTGTAACTTTCATCTGTTAAAGTGATGTTTAAACCTGCTTTGTGTCTCTTGATATCTCATCAGTTTATAAGAAGGAGTTTACCTTAAGGATGCCAAAGGCTAGTTTTGATTTGTAATTTAAAATCTTGCTGTCACTGGTTATAACCCAACAGTTTTTTTCTATGTAGCAGTACATACCGTGAACAGGATTTCATCCCGCTGGCCATGAAAGACTTAACAAATGAGATGTGGGGCAAAAAATCTTAAGGAAATCAAAACGGAGCCAAGCTTTACATTTCCATTTCAATCAGAAGAATGAGAACTGATACAGCAGCTAGGGGCAGCGGTGGATCAGTGGTGCAGTGGGTTATCATATGGAAGGTTAAGGGTTCGATCCCCAGAAGAGCACTTTAGAAGCCCAAGTCCATTACCCACATTTTTACTTGGCAAGTGCATACTGTAAGTTGAGTCTTGGCAAGTCAATTTCATTTTAATGACACTTTTTCTTTGGCTACTGATGTGAGCCATACCTGATTGTGTGGGTTTGGTTTTGACAACTGTAAGTAGTTCACCTGTAAGTATTTCCAACTGTTACTGAAGCACTGTGTCAGATCTTCTGACAAAAACTTGGTGATAAATAACCAGAATCTTGATAGCAAAGCACACTGACTACCATTTAGAGCAGTCTTAGACAACTACAAGCCAAATACCAGACCTTAAGCCCATCAACTATGTACAATTAATTTCTAACGTTCATCTCTACTACATGAAAATGATTGCATTTAAATTGCTGATGTTACTAAACTTAAGACATCATTTGATGTTGACTCATAAAGTGTGAAAATTAACTTGGAAAGTGCTTGAAATCCATGACCAGTTTCTTCTATTTCCAAACCAGTGTTGCACAGTGAAGCAAGAGGAAGGATCTAATTTAATGCCAAATTTATTCAGATTTATTTTATATATTTCAGATCAATGTAATGACACCAAGTTCAAAAATGTCTTTAAGATGTGTCTCCTGGGGTTCTGTAGTTTTTTATTCCCTACTGGATTAAAGGAAACTAGTGCAGTAAATGATTGGTATTCATGTTGCTGTTCATATTTGTTTAATTTCAGACTGGCTGGGTCTGAGCTTCATCAGCTTCTGTGATGTGTGCTCCTAAGTCCCGGGTAAGATACTGTTTTTAAGAGAATTATTATTCCAAAATCAGTCACCTGTTGGAGCTTGATGAGCTCTGTTGGGAAAAGTGGAACAAAGAAATCAAGTGACGTAAATATCAGGTGTGAGTAAAGCAACCAGTTCTATTATATATGACTTTAAAAACATGAAGCTGTTTTACTGGCTGTATTACGGTAGGTGTTTTCCCCCTTTCAATAGCCTTTTACAGATTGTTACCACAAAGAAAAGAATTATCCTTTATCATTTTTCTAAACATATTTAAATCCAAATTTTAATTCAATAGTAACTAGACTTTAGGTCTTACAGACAGCAACAACTAAAGAGGACTTGAAGTAACTGCTGTTGCAGTATATTTAAAGTGGAAGGGGATTTTGTTCCCATCAGCCAGTGGCTAGTTCCCAAACTGCATTGAATAAACTGCCCATTTCATAACATTTAAAAGGTCAAAAGTGAAGTATTAACTTGGAAACTTCTTTGAAAATGTCTTCACTTCTTCCTTGAATTCCTCAAGCATTTTGCTGACAGATAAAGTGGTGGTCTCTTGAATTATTGCCCTCCTTCCACACTTTAAGGCCACACTGTCAAAGGCTCCATCATCTCCAAATGGTTCAAATGTCACTCAGTCAACAGGAATTGGTAGCATAACACAAAATTGATCAGGATTAGAAATCTGAATAAACACATCATGGCAACATTTGAAAACATTTCCTTTAATGCGAGATCCTGCACCACTTATAGACCACTAACCCTTTATTTACAAGACCAAATGAAACCAAGTGCTTGTGTGAGGGAACTTTTAAGTGACTTACCTTCAGATTTTCATAGAAACTTCCAGTACGCAGTGGTTCTTCTACAGTGTTCTGTTACAAATGCACAATTACATCTGCTACTAGTTTGACCACATCTGATGCCTCTGATCTCTACTGCTTTATCTTGAAGATTTTTGAAGAGGTCGGAGTCCACCTCGGCTTTGTCTTCACACTTTTCTTGTGGCAGAAAAGCTTTTGTTTGTTCTGTTTAGGCCTTTGTCCGATCCTTTTTGGTGTCCTTTGTTGCCTCTGGCTGCATCTTTGTCATCTCATCTGAAGACCGTTGTGGTGATTTTTCCCTTTCCATTACATGGTTTTGCTTTTGTCACCTCTATCAAATTATTTTTTTGTTCCCTTTGTTGCATCTAGCTGCATCTTTGTCACCTGAAGACTGTTTTGGTGATTGCTTGCTTTTGCTTTTGTAGCCTTTATCAAAATGTTGTGCTGTTGTTTGGTGTATCTTGCTCAGTCTTTGTTATCCCCTCTGCAGACTGTTGTGTCATTCTGACACTACCAGCACATGTTTGTGAAGTTGTTGCTTGTACAGTCTTTTGATGCTTAGTGGCTTCCTTTTGGGGGCTTAGTACAGATGGCTTCTCCTGGTTTGCCTTTTTTCGTTCCATTGGATTCTGTTCCTTTGCATTTCCATTCAGCCTGTCTTCTAAAAAGAAGTCCTTTCCTGGACTTTTGAGAAGAGATGTTCTCCCTCTCTTAGTCATGATGGTGCAATGAGAAAATGTTACTGATCTGTCAGTTAAACTGAAAGTATTTCCATCAAGTCTATGAAGACACACTTCTTAGCGACTTGGTATTCCACGAACGGACGAATAGCAACATCTTGTGGACAAAGGATTGTATTGTAGTTAAGCACTCTTTCTGTCAGGACTAGTTAAGCCTAAGGAAAATCTATACTCACATGAGCATTCATTGTTGTTAGAGACACTGGGTTTAGAGGTGCTATGTTTTTGTAGTTTGGTTTCATAAGAGAAGTTAGCTTTTAATTGAATTCCGATGTTGCACTAATTAGAAAGATAGTATTCTCAACTATAGTTTGGAGTCCTCCTTTTGTTTTCCCTGTTTATTGATTTGAACAGCACTCACTTTTTTGTCTCACTGTTTTACTTCATTGTTAATAATTACTCATTATGTTATTTAGAAGATCTGGTTATTTGTTGCTTCCCTTTTTCCTTTTTTGAACTGGGTTGCAACTGTCACACTCAGAAAAAGTGATTTGAGGCCCCAGTCAAAGGTTTTTGGTTGAAACATGTTTAATGTTGCTAAGAGGCTCATGCCAACTAACAGTAAGGTGCGGTAGCTTATGCCAAAAAATTAAGCTTCTCCTGTGCAAGTGCAAAGTTAGCAAAACTCCAATCAAAGTGCGTTAAGAATCAACAGGTGGTCTACTCGGAGTCCCCTGGGAAGGATACATTTGAAACACTTGTTCTAGGTGCTATTGAAAGCTTAAGCACAACAAATCACAAAGCTCTATGAATCTACTTCTGGAAGGAACGTAGTTTTAGCTTCTGGCCAAAGACTCCTACAGAGCACCATGTATTTGCAAAACGAACGACAAAAGCAAGACAACATGTACCACATTAAGAGACCAGTGCCTTAATATCAATATGACTCAAAGGTATTGCCCTGAATCAAATCAACAGTGCACAATTAAGACTATCTGTTTGATATAACATTGTACGTAATGGTAATCTAACAACTTAAATGAATTGCTGCTTCAAGGATTTCAAATCTAAACGTTGTTCTTTCCTTCGAATGCTTTTGCGATGCATTGTGATGATTAACCAGTGTTTGATTATTGAATTGAAGCAGCCAATTGTAGGGTGAAGTTGGATGACTGATGTCCTGCCATGGGAGACCTTGGGGTCGGCAGAGTAGCACAACATTCATTTGGTCTTCTGGGCCTTCTGGGCGGACTTGGTAACTTTGCCAGTGGTGGAGGCCTTCTTCTCCACACCCTTAATCACGCCCACGGCCACAGTCTGCCGCATGTCGCGCACTGCAAAACGTCCTACGAGGTGAAGAAGAGGAATCAAATACATATGAGGGTCACGTTTCAATTTGGTATGATTACCAACTGGTTTGAGTCTGTGTTCTACCGTTTAACTTACCAAGTGGAGGGTACTCAGAGAAGCTCTCAACACACATTGGCTTTCCAGGAATCATATCCACAATTGCAGCGTCTCCGGACTTGAGGGATTTCGGGTTGTCTTCCAGCTTCTTGCCAGAGCGTCGATCAATCTTTTCTTGAGCTCTGCAAACTTGCAGGCGATGTGAGCTGTGTGACAGTCCAGCACAGGAGCATAACCAGCACTGATCTGGCCAGGGTGGTTAAGGATGATGACCTACAAAGCAATCAGAACAACGTGGATGCCCTATTAATAGAACGATTATTTACTTACTGCCAAATAAGTTCATTGCAAAGACTTGGCAGTTTGCTTGTTCATTGACTATTTTCTCATTTAAAACCTTCTCTCTGTGTCCGAATAAACAAGATCCAATACAATAAAGCTGGCGTGGAAGAAATAAAATGATCCCTTGCAATGTCTACCTGAGCAGTGAAGTTGGCAGCTTCCTGTGGTGGGTCGTTCTTGCTATCACCAGCCACATTGCCACGGCGGATATCCTTGACTGACACATTCTTGACATTGAAGCCCACATTATCGCCAGGTAGGGCCTCAGTCAGTGCCTCGTGGTGCATTTCCACAGACTTCACCTCAGTTGTCACATTCACAGGCGCAAAGGTCACAACCATTCCTGACTTCAGTGTGCCAGTTTCCACACGGCCTACAGGCACTGTTCCAATACCTGAGAAGAAGTCCAGAAGAGTGACCATTCAACAATGGACATTCAAGTGAAAATAACGTGTTTTTGGAATAGCACCCTTCTCCCACATTTCTTAACCAGTGCGCTACATGCCTCCTATTTTGTAGACATCCTGCAAGGGGAGACGCAG